ATACGCATATGTAAACTGAAACAAGGACAGCTCGGAGATTCATCTCTTTCTATTATATTGAGTCAGCAATTTAGTTATAAAAGTCTGTGGAACGGTGCAATCTTATAAAAAAAGACAAACAGAGCATCTATGTAGAAACGTATGCGACATTAGCAAAGAAAGTTAAAGATGGCCACCTGTGAGAAAAGCAGCAAATGCGTGTAATATTATTTTATGATTTTCCAATCTTAACTTTAACAACTAATAAAAAAAAATGTTTGTAAAATATATTTTTTTTTAATTTCATATTATAAAATAAATATTCCTGTCAAGTATTTCGTGTTTGATTACAATGTAATCTTGAATTTGCTTGTATATATATATATATATTTCAAATAATATTATAAACGTAACAATTTCCTCCACAGTGGGATAAGTTATTACAATTTACCTACTGATAGAAAATCTTAATTTTCAGTATTTAAAGACATAGATACAAATTAGAAAAAAAATTGACTATCTAGGTAAAAATTTACTTGAAGCAATGCATAGGTATTCATTAATTTAAAGAAAAAATTGCTAATCAAAAATTGTGACAACTTGCTCCGGTTTCCCCTACTTTGTTTTTATTTATCTCAATAATAAAATAGTTTAATTTCAACTTAATAATAGCGTGATTATATGTAAAGTACATTCGTGAATAGCACGCAGAGAGAGAGAGAGAGAGAGAGAGAGAGAGAGAGAGAGAGGAGAGAAGAGCGGCTTAAGGTAAAATTAACAAGCGAGAATCACTTCACTTTCGGTAGTAAAGTACATGTAGGTATATGAATGCATCGTCGATATAATTATACGTATTTTGATGGGGCACTAAGCACAAAGTACTGCAAGTACGTGCACCCTCCTACTTCCTCCTCTCCTTTCATGCTCTTTCCTTCCTTGGATAAAGCACGATGGAAGAGAAATTGGTCTCGTTGGAACCATAGAACGACAAGGCGGTACAAAGGCCGTGTTAGCTCTGGCGACTTTCTCAAGTAGCACTCGTGCACACGTTTTCCACTCCAGCTTCACTCAACCCCAAAGCTGAGTTCCACCGAGATGGGGCAGTCATCAACGCACGTTTTATTCCAAATCCGATATATCTTTCGCAGAAGGCTAACTCCACGACCCGTAATAGTAATTTCGTATTCGCAACTTCTCCCTTAATGTATTAAGTTACGTATTCGTAACGTTAATGAGTTAAGCTTGTCAAAATAGAAATAAAATTAAAATATCTAATTGAATTTTCAACCAGCATTTGCCTGAGAGAATAAGCGTGATGACGGGTCGCGTTGTTTTGATTAATATGTGAATACCTATGCATTTATTCTGTGTTAGAAAACATAATTATTACTATAATATTTTTGTTTACTGAAAATGAAAAAGAATTTGTCAATAGCATTTTATTATACACGATGACACAATTTTTGATTTTGATTCAATTGATTATTCCATATAAATTAACGTAAGTGGAAAAATAACTTCTCATCGCTATTGAATTAATTATAGTAATTATTTAATCATAAATTGACATTTTATTGTACAGAACATAGTAGGATAGTCGTTGAGGAAATCTTCGATCGAACTATCATTTTTTTATGAAAATATTGACTGAATTGATTCTCGATAACAACCGAAGAAAAACGTCTTAAACACAATTTTACAATTATAGATTTTCAAACTTCAGACTAGATATCTATTTCGATCCGTAATATCTTAACGCAGGAATAAGTATATAAGATTAGCTTAGAGCGATAATTTTTATTATGGATCATATGTAAGTTTGTTGATATTGTAAGGGGTTAATATACGTGTTCTTTATTATCACTGATGAATACTTTGTAAGTCAAAACGTTTTATAGCGTTATACGTATATAATTAAAGACGAATTTTATTAGTTAACTACAATTGCTCGTTTATAAAAAGCTTTAACATTTTAATTTAGAATTTGTCAAGTTAATAAATTTTAACACTTACTAAAATGCAAAGCTTCTATAAAGTTTCAAGAAATTTGCAACGCAAAATATATATTAAATATGTACTAAAAATGTGATATTGTTTAATTTATTTTTTAAGATAGGTAATTCAAAAATTTCATTTCTCAAGATAGCAAGACTATCGCAATTGCGTAATTACGGTATTCATGAACTAAGTTTATTTTAACAGGTTAATGCCTATCTACTAAGAAAACGTTGAGAAAATCTAGTGCTACTTATCGTGTTTATCTGAAGAGATACGAAGTGCTCTTCTCAAACAGTGATAAAAAGATTAACCTATTTCCACATTGGAAAGAGAACATGGATAAAGAAGATATGTCACATTCTTGAAGAAGTTAGTTTATAACCGAGAGAGTTACATCATGTTCAGACCAGATTATGTATATAGATGATATATAGAATATTTTAATACAAAAGTTAAATTAAAAAAATAGTAAATGTAATATTTAACCAAATAGAAAATTACGAATTTTTCCATATTATATTTAAAAGTAATACAAAAAGTTTCACAATGATTTAAAACCTGAATAAAAATTATTTCAATAAGAAATATGTTTTTACAAAATAATTAAAATAAAATGAGAAAATTTTTATTTAAACTATATAAATTTATTATTAAATATTGATCTTATTTTGTGAACTGTTTTATATGTATATAACATTTATTTTTATATAGAAAATTAAAATTTTTAATTTTAGTCCAACTTTCTGTAAAAACTATGCACATAATATAGGATAAATCCTTAAACACATAAGAAATCCAAAATCATAACAATATATTAATTACAATAATATATTAAATATTAATTCCTCGAACTATTTAGATTATAAGAAATTTAAAAGCTATTTTTATCTTATGAAAAAAAAGGAATAATTAGTAATAAGGGAGAATGGAAGTATTGCGAATACCTAAGCAAAAGTTAAATAAAGCCAATGTTTATTTATCAATTAAATAAATCTTTATTCAAAGATTGTTATTTGTTTAAAATTAAATTATATTCATAATGTATAAATGTTAATTATTGTAATTTAAAACCAAATAGCTGCAGTATCTTTTAAATGAAGACTGACTTTTATTAATTAATTAAGTTAATTATTGATAATCGTCGGCTTTATTTAATTTTTCCTTCAGGTGCCTAAGGTTTCTCTATTCTCATTTTTCTATATATTATAATATTTCCCATAATTTTTTTTTTATCGGTTTCAATAATCAACATGAAACGTAGGGAAATACTGAAATCGATCCGGAAGATAGGATTTTGAATCTCTCTCCCTCTCTCTCTCTCACTCTCTCTCTCTCTCTCTCTCTCTCTCTCTCTCTCTCTCTCTCTCATGTTGCATCGTGGAAATGCAATGGGAAAAAATTTTCGGCTCATGGCGGACGCATCGCAGCGTGAAACAGACGCGCTGACGCGGCAGGATGATGCGGTTTTGTGAGCGATACCTCATAGTAGCTATGCCGAAAGTCCCGCCGGTCAATTCGATTTGGAATTCTTGCAGATATTTCCATACGCTCGTAAATAGCCCGGCGACGCGCGTTTTAACCCACTCAGGCCAACAGTATTGTAAAATGGTGAATACGCGCATCGAGGGGGCGACCGGCCGACCGGTCGCGGCGAAATGAATATACTATATACGGACGCAGCGAATGAATTTATAACGCGCACGCGAAAACTGAACCTGCCGTTCCTTCCACCATGACGCCGCACCGGCCGGCCCCGTAAATCGATGGCAGCTGTTTTACACAGTTGACCGTGTGGAAAAGCTCGTTGCAGAGCCGAATGCACCCGCATAATCGCGAGCCCGCGCGAGATGGAACGGTCGATCCAATCCCTCTTTTTTTCCTAGTGATACTTCATGTTTCGTTTGCTGTAGCCAGGAAAATCCGAGGAAAGTTTCCATTCAATGCCAGATATTTTCATTCTCTCGAAGAATTACTTTACCCGCAGTATTAAAGAATTATTCTCGACTTTAAATATGAGGATCGTCCACGCTAAACTATACATATATGTATACATGTACATCATGAAGTGTAGAAAATAGGAGGTCGAACTTATGGGGTGCTTTCCAATTGCAATATCCCTAGACACTCTCGTGCACAAGGCAGCGGCTATAAATGAGGTTTGAAAACGTTGAATGGCCGGCACATATATTTTTTTATTCAATACAGGCGGAAAAAGCTACATTTAATCTAACTTTATCCGAAACGAATCTCAACCATGCACAGTGCACACATTCTGCTCCAATTGAATCGTACACAATGATACGCTTTGTGCATTCCTTAAAATGTGTAAGCAATTGGAAAGCACCCATGGACGTCAAAAAGCGTGGTCAAAAGTGGTCATCTGAATTAGACTCCATCGAGATGTCGCTTTCGTTCCACGACACTGTTCTCGCAGTTTTGGTAGGTCATACCAATTTTACATGAAGAATGCTCCATTCTTCATGCAGTTTTAACGACAATTTACCTTTTCCTGCTACTATCAGAGTATGATGTCAAAGAATAACGTCTCTGTCTTTAGTGTGCGTAAGTGTATATGAGAGTTTTGCGATTCGACCATCGCCTACCGAGCACTACCAATACCAATTTAGAAACCTGATTTTGACCACATTTTTTAACCTAATTCGGGGCCCCTGTTCTCTATCCTCGATGATTGCATTCTTAGATTTCTTTAATTTAATAGCGTATCAGAAATGGATGAGTTAGTTAAAGTTTCTTGACATATCCGGACGTATTACAGATTGACTACGTTTTTGATATCAATGCCGACAACTTTCACAGCAATACTACTCTTTATGGAATTATCTTGGTGGAATTAAAAAGGTGAATTGCGCATTGAAAGGCCATTGCCCGGAGGAAGCCCCAATCAGAAATTGAGTTCATTTGCAGCATGAACGAGTCATGTGAATTTCTGCAAATAAACTGCTCGAAACTTGGTTGACAGATGTATCACGCTACTCCTATTCCTATAACCATTTGCACCTTACCTTCAGCCTGATGAGGAGCATAGATGTTGAGATACAGACAGTCCTCGCTCTGGTTCCTCAAGTACGGCAAGTGTCTCTCCAGGTACTCGTACCTGCCTGGCTTTACTTCCTCTCGAAGATTTGGCAAGACTTGCGGGCAAACTGGAGCGAATTCCTGCGACTGTCTCACTCCTCTCCACGGTTGTGGTGAGCGTGGCGGAGAAAATCTGAAGGATCCCACGGGAGGCTCCGCGTAAGGGACTCCTAAAACACAAGGAAGAGCCTTGCTTTTAGATTCATGGCGTGATGCTAAGGTATAATACAATAACTGACATTTCTATTACAGGATAAATATTTTAATTACAGGAAAAGTATTTTAGAAGAAATAAACTATTTAACCGAATTGTTATTATAAAAGCATTTAACGTATTTTTGAAAAAGGATCCCATTTGTGCCACGCTAGTAACTTCATTTCTAATTAAGCTAAATATCGCCGTTATTCCTCCGAATATCAACTGAAAGCAAATTACGATTAAACTTCAATTTAATTTTATTTAACACAATTAAACATCATTTTTGATGAAAATTCTATTTGATTAAAATTTTGTAATCACAATTCTTCTTAATTCTTCTATCGATTCTCTTTAATGTAATTATCTTTACAAGCTAGGTGAAACGAGACTTAAGGAAGAACCGATTCAAACGTGTAGACGAATATCGAGAAGGAACGCTAATATGTATATTCCGTTTTGGTTATCACGATGTGATGCACACGCGGATGCAATTCGACGCGTGGCAGTGCAAGTTGACGGACGCGCAGCGCGAGTCAAGCAAAGACGGAGAAAGCCAAAGGGGTAGAGATGTGCGGCGATGGCAGTAATATCTGTTCCCGAAATACACGGACGCTCCACGAGCGCATGCTCCTCGTTTTGGATCCTTTGACGTATCGGGAGTCTCAAAGCGCGGATATGCAATTGCCAGGAAACTTTTGCTCACTGACCGGAGCTGAGTTTCCTAGGAATATCGAACGTTATCGAGATACCGTTGTAGTAGATCGTTGCATATGAAACGACGGCTTTGCGTCAACCAGCTTAGCGTCTCCGTCGAATTAAATGTATCGATATACATAAATGCTTTCAGGTAGTTCTTTCGCGCGTCTTTTTCCTTCGAAAATTAAATCCGGAAACGTGCATCTTTAGCATTAACCAGCACGCAACAGGAAAGATTCAATACTGGAATTCTTTGGAATTTGGAAAGGTTAAGCCATGGCTTCTCTTACGAACCAATATTTGAAGAAAGCTTAGCTTGACTTGCTATTACTATGTATGTGGACATTTAATTACAACTTAACTCTGACGAAACGGTTTATATTTAATATTTCTTTATTAAAAGTAAGCTACAACTAAAATAGTTTATATTTGTTTTTCAACATCTTACTATTTGATCATTACAAAATAATTT